AGGCAATTCACGTAGGTTTTCTGGAAAGCCAGCGTCATTCACATAATATTATTCACTATGCACATTGAAAACGAGGCAATGTCATTACAGTGGGCGGTGCCAATTTTTCGACGCAAGAGAGGAATACTTAAAGGACCCGTGTTTCCAAACAATGAATTTCGTTGAGCACTACTATTTTACTTTAGCAACTCCTTTCCGTTGGGCTTGCTAAACTGAAAACCCTGCGTCAAACGAGTAAAGGGATGCACGGTCACAAACGAGCTTGAAAAGGGTCATAATTGAATAGTCACTTACAATGGAACCAAACGCATCTTCTGTCTGAGAAACCAGCAGTTCGCCTCCAGCAGCAGTCCTCAGCACGTCTCCATTTACCCATTCATAGCTGCGGTATTTTCGTGGAACTATACGGTTCAGTACGTATGACTTCGGGTCGTCATACTGTAAGTAATATTACTTAACAAAAACCGACTATTCAATTGTAGAACCATCCGAACAGATTTCGCCAGTTGTAATGATCTTTGAAAGTAAATTGTATACGGAAAGCGCTATATCGTTTCTATGTGATCCATTTTAGGGCAAAATCTTTCAACACACAGGGAAAGTGACACTCTCATGGAACAACCGGAAATCTTTTGGGCTGATCAATCCTTTTTACGGGTGAGCTCCAGCGCTATCATTCAGAATGCGTTTTGAGAGCGTATACGGCCTACACAAGGACGTTGCCCTGGCCAATCGATCTACTGGCCAGTGCTCTTATCTTCCCAAAAAGTTCAGTTTTCAATTAACTGATCCCACAGGGATGAAGGAATCGGTTGGCGTAGGTGACTACTATTGATCCAGCATATTGAGCGTTATTGACTCGTCACTCGATCCGTGCATCAGACGTATGGTAGCGCGCCCCCTGCCACTACATCACTTCCTCTTCTTCCACATGATACTCCTTGAATTTGTGATCAGAACTATAAGATCAACAACAGGATTGAATTCACACAGAGAGTGTAATGTATCTGCTCTGCTGAGGTCTTCTACTTTCCAACGGATGCATTCACAACGAGGGAGTTGAAAACGGGGGCATCCAGTACACCATATGGTTCAACCCACGGTCTATCAAAAAGCATGAGGGAGTCAAATTCGCTTTCAAGAACCTCCTTATTTATATAAAAGTACACAGTGTTTGGAGACGAAGTTCAAAATGTATTAGCACCGTCATGTTCTCCAGGATTTACTCGAAGTAGAACTTAGAATTACCTTGTCTTCATTGTCGGGGCTAATAATGACTGTAATGTCGTCACTCTTCAATTTGTCTGATACTTTAGCCTCCTTAGCCAGAGACCACAGCGACGAATTGAGTTGAGTAAGAACCTCTTCCATTGGGAGAGATTCCACTTCTAAACATTAACGTTGAGTTATGCCAATTTTCTAAACTAGCCAGAAGAAATTTCCTCCATCTGTACGGCTTAGGCTATATCTTTAGCATTAATCGTTAGAAGATTTAAGTGAATTTAATTTTAAATAATAGTATCACACACGTTTCATAGAAAAGTTAAACTTTGTTAACGTTAATCAACCTTGTTTCCCAAATGCGCCCCACATTCTACTCCTTTTGCGAATGGTAGATGAGCTTCGAATATAGCCGTTACCCGACGCACAAATTAGCGCTTCTCCCAGATCCCAAAACCGACCCCGGTAGGCTAGAAAGCAAGTTTGACGTGGGAGAAGACCACCACAAAATCCTTCCAGATTGTATGGCCTGCCATCTATTTTCGATAGTGATGGGTCCCACTACCTTCAGATGCCCTACATACTTACCTAGTGGGCATCCATACCTAAAGATGTCCCTTGTATCATATCCTTCACAGCATTCTTCTACTCGCGTTGTTTCGGTGGTCATCTGGAACGAGCTTGAGTTCTTTTGTGGACCCGCAGCAGTGCCATAACTATCTAACCTTTGATTCCGTCTTGCTATCGACACACTTTCTCGCATTCCGAAATCGTTGGCAAATCTTTTCCGATTTCATCATTTCCCCATCCGCTGGACTTTTCTTTGTACTTTCCCGTATGCAAATATGAGGCCTGTATATGATTTTTTATATTTATTTCCCCACAATATTCCTATCCAATAGCCGCTCATCAACCTACCCTTCCAGCCGCGACACTTGCATGATGCCACTGCCAATGGTGTCGAAAATATTGAACAACTGGTCAGTGACGACATGTCTTGGGTCGCTAATTTTTTTGGGAGTAAGTACGGTAGTCCTGACTCTCCCATTCAATTGGTCGGGGATGTCACTAGATGAAACCTGAAAATACGATTAAAATAAAGAGTGATGCATAGTTAGATTTTCATCCTTCATGGTGTTCAGCCACATTCAGATACGGCGGTATCATTGTTAGGGGAACTACTGACAGTTTTGATCTGTTTGCTGCCTCACAATCTGAACTTCCATGGGTGGGCACATTGAGTGGATATAAACATACATACATAACGAGTAACCCTTAGTTTATGATTCCAATGAACTGAAGTCTTCAATGGTGTTTGATAGGTATGGATCCCAAACCAAAAATGTAAAAAGTCGAAGGGAAAATCAACAAAAAACAGGCAGAGGGCCACTAGAAGCGAGTGTCGACAGATTAACAACTAGCCATTTTTGCACATCCCAAGAACCGAAAAAACTACGTTGGAGATAGGTTTTTAGAAGAAACTGAGATGTAGAAGAACCTCATTTCGAGGAACTGTGTTTTGTAGAGGGTGAACTTTCATGAAGTCTACTTGTTGATGGCAGAGCCTCGTCCTAAGTTGGGAGTAGTAACTTATCTCAAAAAATCGCTAAAACAAAGAAGAGCATAGGCACCACTCAAAAAAAACTGACGATATCAAGTTTGTGTGACGTTAAAGGGTTAGCCTACACTGATGATGCTGCAAGAGCCTTCTGAATTGGACATACTTGGGAAACGATATGTGAATTTAGGCATATTCAATAGACCACTACATTTGCTACCCTTGCAGGGCTGATGATGGGGCATTGACAGATTTATTTATTTGTTATCTTATTATTTACTCATACGCTACATAAAGTAGTCTTGAGATGCTTTTAATAGACTAACTCCACCAATTTGTGAGGATTAGATTGACTCTGTGATTCAGTAAATAACCTTGCTAAAAGTGTAAATCACTGAAGGGCTCCATTGAGAAAAAGCATGCCAAGGGCGGAATAGACGGCACGATTGAAACACTAATGGAAGATTTCAGGAAAATCATCACAACATTTGAAATGAAACAAAGAACTTACACGTGAAACTCTATCGCCAACCAGTCCCATCAAACTTCCAAAAAGTGTAGACGTCTGAAATCAAGAATGAACAGTCACGAGAGAGGAACTCGACTAGAAACCAAGCAATAAAAGTCAGAGTTCTTATGAGCTTTCAATCATTTTCTTTCTCATTTCACCTAATCTGGGCGAGCCATGTGTTCATACTTAATCCCAAATCGCCCTTATGATAATGCGCAACTGGTTGACTTCGCACTACAGATCAATAATAACTCAATGTTATTGTTTAAAAGTTGCCATAAACAGTAAAACAATAGCTACATTCCATTTACAGCTACAGGTTACACATACCAGGTCAGTGAAGCGTCCTAAGGATCCGAGCAGTGCTGCTTCTGTAGCATCGTACGACCGCACACGAGCTTTTAGAGACTGAAATTCATTAGTATTCGAAAAGATTCCTGGTGAAACTCCCATTAAAGAAAACAAACCTCGCTGGAATCTTTGGGATTCGACCTTTCCTGCGCTTCAATGTCCTCATAATAGTCAGCGAAAACAGAACATATTGTGCATTTTGCGAGCACATCAGGCACCAAGAGCGACAAGAATAGGATTTTTAGTAAGATCATCTGAAAAAAAAATGTTTGAGATATTTTTTTAAAAAAACTTTTCGCAGCAAGGATGTTGCTGTACGGCTTTGGGGCTTCGCAAAGAGAAGGGGGAATGTCAGAACTTCAGCGGTTCGGTCAGAAAATTTCCTTAGCAGTGCCTATTTGGTTACAAGAACTGAACAATGACAGTAGAGGCAGACTTGAGAAAATTCAGAGAGGAGAGCGTAAAATTGCTTGGAAACGAAAGGTGCAGCTTCAGAAAACGAGTTGGGAACTGAAAAGTCGAGTCTGAGATCCGATATGCATATCTTCGTCGATTTGCGCTTCAATTGAGTCCACTGAACTATCTAATTGTAACGGTGAATTGGGAAATTCCTATAAAAAAAAGGTGATCATTTCAAATCATTATGCACTACCAGGCTCCTGCCCCTTGCAGGAGGCTCCCACTAGCGTGCATCAAAAGAAACTATTTGGAGCTATTTTAGAGTAAACTGACTTCCTCTTGTACGTTTTCTCAAAGTCTCCTAAATCCCTCAGACATATATGAAACAAGTTACTGAATAGGTTTCTATTTCCAGGAAAGCGAAAGGAAGAGGTTCTCAATCTATGTAACTGCTCTCAGAACACCATGTTGGGGGTAGGTCGGAACTAAGACGGTTTAGGTGATCGGGCAGTGAGAGTAATTACTTCTGTTCTGTTCTTCTAACTCGATGATTCATCCAGCCTCATAAAACCAGCCCCAATTCACTGTGAACAGGAAATGTGTCCATCAAGGAGATTCAAAAAAGGTGAGAGATGAAATTAGCAATGAAAAGGAAGCGAAGGAGGCTATTGACCAGCTAAGAAGGTCATCGATCTCGTGTTTTCGAGAGTCCCAAAAAAATCTCTTGAGACTATAAACTGAGTAAAGTTCTAAGCTGTTTCTTGTATATACAATTTCATCAAATGAAAAAATTTAAGTTAAAGACAGCTTATTTCGAAGGACGCCACTGCCGCTCGGATTTCAGCATAACAGCTGCAGCACATTGGAGATAATTTGAGCTGATGATCCCTTCTAAAAGTTTACTTTATTGGAATTCAGACGGTTTTTGAGGGTGTAGATCCACACACACATGGGGCGACATGGGACAACACAGAATAGCAATTGCTTATCGAGTTCCCGAACTTCATGCCAAACTTTCGAACACTCTTCTAGCCCAGGGAAGGCCATACCGGCTTAATAACGGCTTCAATCTTCATAGGTTCGGTGTTTAACTCAACCTTGGAGCTTAGTCTTCATGCATGGTGAATTTCCGACCAGTCCTTTCACTGCCATATCNGCGCTCTCTGAAACTGAGGTACATGGCTGAAAGAATCGCTCGTAGTTGTCGTGTTAAGTGCAACAATGAATAGAAGTATTGACCCCAATGCGCTCCTCGTTCTGTCCATTAGAGCTATGTAGATGAAAGAGCTTAAACATGCTTTTTTTCAAGGGAACCATTGTCAAGCAATGAAAGAATTTGATTTAATTGTTTTTGTCCACTCAACGTTCTAGGCAGCCCGAACGAAATGCGTTGGTGAGACCAAACTCTCATTTTTACACTAGGGAACGTTTCCTTCACCTATGACACCTTCTTAGACAGAACAGATGACCACTTTCAGAAAAAAAGAAGGAATTAACAGCAGTGTATTTTGATGACCTGACATCCCAGTTGAGTGATCTCAAAATTGATACAAATCGACTGAAACAAAAATCTAACCATAAATCCCAATAAATGCACCTATTTCAAATGACTGAAGAAAATTGGCCAAAAAAAAACTATGCGACATGTTATTTTGATATGAAAAAGGCTGGAAATAAGCCGTCGACATGTCATAACGCAAGCGCGAACTTCTCGACCGCGCGAGAAGTTCGACTATATTCCCGATGATTCAGAGAAACGACCTACGCATTGACGGCCTCAATAATACCACAACGGCCACTCACTTGATCGTGATGCGTAGCGAACGCGCAAGAAAAATGAGAAAGAAGATGGCCTAAGCCAGGAAAACACAATGGTGAAATTTAGGGTGTAGCACTGTAGTAGAAGGATAAAGCTAACGCATTCGCATTTGGGATGTGCCCACGCTTCTGGCTTCGATTCGGAATCGTAGCAGCATTCGAATCCGTATGGGGTGCTCAACCGATGAACAAGTCAGCGTTTCTGTCCTTCCAGACAGTTCTAGTTCGATTTAGTCTCTAGGGGAAGAGCGGCTTCTTTGGTAGTAACACTTAACTCGATTCCCAGACCATCGGGGTGATAATGCGCTAATTGTCATTGCATGAACTAAGACAACTCTAGCCACCTTCCACAGCAGGTGGGGCCACTTTTCAGTAAACCATGTGTAATTGTTTCGAAAAAAATGGAAAACTACTCGACTGCAGGAAAAATGCTTAAAGTACAACAAAAATACCGATGTCCAGCGAATGTCCTGCAGCGAGGTGACCTGTCATCAGTCGTATGGCAATGGTTTAAGACGTTACAAGACCTCTCCGCTGTCTAATCCATATCGAGTAAAATAAAAAAATTGCATTTAAAAATATAGTGCTGGATCAGGTAGGTCTACAGCGATCAGATGAACTTAGGGTATCGAAGAAAAGCCTTCACCTGATATACATGGACCAACTAGAAAATTCATTCCTGCTGTTCACGAGCAATGAGCCACCGAAATGGAGCTGATTACAGACTCGGTTCGAGGCTACTTTGGTACCAATAGCTACGATATATGGAGAACATTGTCGGCCCTTCTCAAAATGGAGGGACCGGATGTTGTGGTTTCTGAAGAGCGTGGGCGAGTTTCAAACCGTGTACATCCTCACCAAATACTGGTTATATGCATTTGCGACCATAATCGATATTAATTGTAGCGCCGACTGGGTTCACTTTACCGTCTTTTCATGACATCTTTCGTCCTGATAGGGAAACGACAGATGTGTGTTACCACCTTCCTGAACTTCCCGAAACAAAGGGACAAGAGCATGTCAGGCTAGCTTAGTAAGTTACACCATCCAATAGATTTCATCCAATTCTGTAATATTACCGCACAAGAGGGATTCCCTTCCGCAGCGTTAATTTGCAAACGAATCGACAATACCTACCCAAACAGGAGAACCTGAGGTTAACGATGTTGTTTACGAACTGAACGGAGGTTTCGTCAGATCAACAAGTCACCCTACTGTCATAGAACATGGTCAATGAAACTGCATACAGCAGATTGGTCGTAAAGCAATCCTCAAAAAAGACGGACTATCAATCTTTCAGGCAGATGAAAAGCTATGTACAGAGGTCTCATTGGAAGAAACTTCGTTCTCGCAGTTGGAAATGATAGATCAGGGAGTGGATGAAGAGAACTGATTAATGAAAGCTGCGGAAATCCACTTTTAAATGGGGCAAAGGAGGGCTGGAGGGACGATGGGTCTCAGAGTTCACACAGCACATCAACTGC